ATATACTTAAAAATTAAATACGGTATACTTGAAAAGTATATAATGAAAAAAGATGGCAGTCGTTTTAAACGACTAGAGTCGTTTTTCATTTCTCGAACGCTCTTGGTCGCGATTTGCAAAACCTATTTTGAAAAGAAAAATGACTCCGATAGTTCACTTCTTCTCTTTTATTGTATTGGATGTTTTAACTTATCTAAAATCAATTGTAAGGTATGTACTTAAAAATTAAATATTGTACACTTGAAAAGTATATAATGAAAAAAGACGGCAATCATTTTAAATGACTAGTCGTTTTTCATTTCTCAAAGGCTCTTGGTCGAGATTTGCAAAGCCTATTTTAAAAGAAAAATGACTCCGATAGTTCGCATCCTCTCTTTTATTATACATGATGATTTAACTTATCTAAAATCAATTGTAAGTTATATACTTAAAAATTAAATACGGTATACTTGAAAAGTATATAATGAAAAAAGATGGCAGTCGTTTTAAACGACTAGAGTCGTTTTTCATTTCTCGAACGCTCTTGGTCGCGATTTGCAAAACCTATTTTGAAAAGAAAAATGACTCCGATAGTTCACTTCTTCTCTTTTATTGTATTGGATGTTTTAACTTATCTAAAATCAATTGTAAGTTATATACTTAAAAATTAAATACGGTATACTTGAAAAGTATATAATGGAACACGATGAATTGTAGATAACAAAGTTCGTCTTCCTATACGTTTTCGAACAAAATAGGTTGAAATCAAACATAGTCTAAAAGGTTAGAAGTTTGATTGGCATATCGTATTTCAATTTGCATGATGGTTTAATTTATCGAATTAATTGTAAGTCATATAATTAGAAATCGAATATGTTCCACTTGAACATTGTGTAGTGGAGCATAATTATTAAGTTCATCTTCTTATATGATTTTAAACGAAATAGGTTGAAATAAAACATTGTTTAAAAGGTTGGAGTTTAATTGGCATCTCGTCTTTTATAGTACATGATGATTTAACTTATCGAATTCAATTGTAAATTATATACTTAAAAATAGAACATAGTAAACTTGAACGTTGTATAATGAAGCACGATGAATTGTATATAAAAAAATTCGTCTTCCAATATGTTTTTAAACGAAATAGGTTGAAATCAAACATGGTCTAAAATGTTAGAAGTTTGATTGGCATCCGTCTTTCATTACACATGATGGTTTAACTTATCGAAATCAATTGTAAGTCGTATATTTAAAAATCGAACACTATATACTTAAACGTGTAGTAAAGCACGATGAATTGTATATAATGAAGTACGCTTTTCTATATGTATACTTGAACATATGTATAGTGAAGCACAATGTATTACATATAACGAAGTTCGTCGTCCTAGAAATTTTTAAACGAAATAAACTGAAATCATATAAGGTCTAAAATGTTAGAAGTTTGATTGATATCTCGGCTTTCATTATACATGATAATTTAACTTATTACAATCAATTGTAAGTCGTAAAACACGGTGAATTGTATATAACGAAGTTCATCTTCCTATACATTTTTAAACGAAATAAGTTGAAATCAAGAATGATCAAAAATGTTAGAAGTTTAATTGACATCTCATTTTCATTATACATGATGATTTAACTTAATGAAATTGATTAAAAACGTAAATAGGTTGAAATCAAGAATGATCAAAAATGTTAGAAGTTTAATTGACATCTCATTTTCATTATACATGATGATTTAACTTAATGAAATTAATTATAAGTCGTATACTAAAAAATCGAATACGGTATACTTGAATATTGTATAAATGAACCACGATAAATTGTATACAACAAAGTTCATCATTCTATACGTTTATAAACGAAATAGGTTGTAATCAAACACGGCATAAAAGGTCAAAAGTTTGATTGACATCTCCTCTTTCATTATACATAATGGCTAAAATTTCAAAATCAATTGTAACTCGTAAACTTAAAATTGATTATGATATACTTGAACAACGTGTAGTGGAGCACGATAATTTGTAAATAACAAAATTCATCTTCATATATGTATTTAAAAGAAATATATTGAATATTAAAGAAATAGATATCAAATTTAATCACAAATTCATAGAAAAAGGCTACAAGTCTTACGAAAAGACTCCACTCTATTTAAACGACTGCAGTCGTTTTAAACTACTTTAGTCGTTTTTCAAAAGGACTACAGTCTTTTACAATAAGTTTTTAAAGTAAATTGGCTATCATGCAAGAAATTTGAAATCATACTTTTCGTATCTTCCTCTCTTGAAGTAAAAACTAATTGTACATTTATTCCTATATTCTTAGCCAAACTCATCCACAGGCCAAGCAATGTTTTCTTACACATAAAAAGCTACTTACTATCTGATAACGAAAGATTTAAGTAAAAATGCATATATTTCATTCACACGCGTGACTTGTTGTTCTGCATTTCTTTTGCGAACACGGTACGAAATATTAAATTC